GACTTGATATGAATTAGTTTGTTTTTGTTTTGAGCTCTATTAGATATTGATTGATTAGAAACATGATTATAAATAATTGCAGGGGGTTTATATATGCAATTAATTGTGCTGCTTATCAGTATAATATGACAAATGGGCATTATTTTTTGTTAGCATATTATAATTTGTTGCCTTATTGTTGTTATCAATATTAGTTGTATGTCCATTATTAAATAAAATTTCATTTAATTTACTTTCTCAAAATTTAATATTACCTGACATGAAATTAAATGATCATTAATACTAGTAAGTAATATTAATTGCACAATACCTCACAACTATGTGAGAAAAAAATCAATAAAACTTACTGAAACTGATGCTAAATGTTGAAACACACCTCCAAGTTGTAAGTTCCAGTACTGTTACCAATTATTTGTTTGGATTTATTAGTGGTCTTGCAATCACATCTGTTATCAAGTAGTTACAAACTATGTTACATCAAGGGATATTAAGTCTTTTTAGCGCGCTAGCATTTTGCACCAATCTTCTGTTTTGAAGAACCATCAGTCCCTGTTCGGGTACCAATTAAATTATCTTCTCCATAAAAAATGAATAAAAAAATGATTTGGTAAAAATTATGATGAATACAATATCATTACAGCTAATTATGATATAAATATGTGATTACTGATGGTATTACAAATGTGGGGAAATATATATAGGCTTGGGAGGAGTATCCAGCTAGCTGAAACAGTAATATTGTTGATCATAATTGATATTCTTATCAGTAAGTCTGATATCACGACTTTGAAAATTATTATTTTATGAACCAACGATCATAGAACACACTAGTTTTCACCAGAATGTTTTTTGTGATACATATGAAATCATAATAATATTTTTTAAAAACATGCAAGACTTCTCTTAAAGATTCCCTTGATAAATTCATTTTATGAAATTTTATTGACATGAAAAAAAGCATTTGTAATAATTTTTGAATTATTATGGATGATACAAGGCCTACACAGATGCGAACATAATACACTAATTCACAAAATTCAAAGCAATAGTCCTAGATATATTAACAATAATCTTCAAAATTATAACCATAATGCTCCCTAATATAGAAATCATTATGATAGAAACAGACATCACAAAAACAAACTACAGTACGACGAACATCAGTATCATAATTATGATTAAAAAAGATGATAACAGACAACAAAATAATTCTGACCACCTAATCAATAAAGTTAACAAAATCAACTGCAATATTCTAATTTCAATACAGTAATATTGTTAGCAATATAAGTTCCTGACATTATTCTCACTAAGCTTAATGACTTGAATATCACGACTTTGAAATTTACTGTCTTTCAAACCGATGATCATAGAAAATTCTAGTTTTTTTGCTGATCAGCTCTTTGATTATAATCTTTCTCAGCTCTTTTGTTACCTCCCCATTCTTTCAGTATGTGTTGGGATGCCATGACGTGATGTTCTTTTCTCTAGTTAATGTGTCTTTTTAGGAATTTTGATAGTAAATGTTTTGTATTTTGTTTGCTCTCCTTCGTCATGACAGAGTAGATCGCACGGGTGGTGGAGTAGGTCTCTTTGTCCATGACAGTCTCAAATCCAAAATTCTTCACTGCTCTTCCATAACCGATTCTCCGCACGTTGAATACCTTTTCGCCGAAATCCTCACCACCTCATCTGCCATTCTGTTTGCTGTCATATATCGCCCTCCTAGAATTCCTTTCGATGAATCACTTGAGACTTTATTGTACAACTTAATCCCTTCCTACTCAAACATCATCCTCTCCGGTGACTTTAACACCAATTTACTGGCACCATCCTCTGATTATTCCTACCTAACAAACCTCTTTAATTCTCTCAGCCTTTACATAGTACCCTACAATCCAACCCATCATACTCAGTATTCAGAGTCCTGGCTCGATCTAATTATCCTGGATTCCTCAGACAAACTCCTTGCCGCATCTCAGCACCCGGTTCCGTTTCTATCTTCCCACGATCTTGTCCAGATCTCTTACAATGTCCCTGTTCCATCCTTTTCTCCCCGAACAATATCCTTCCGAAACCTAGATTATCTCACTCACGAAACATTGTCAGAAGGTCTTGACGATATCCAGTGGGATTCCATCTACTCCTCAAAATCCATAGACACCATGGTCGAAATCCTAACCACTCAACTTCACTCTATCCTCGACCAACATGCTCCTCTTATCATAAAAACCATCCGATATCCTCCAGCTCCTTGGCTTACCCCTGCTTTGAGGGAGTGTATGAGAGAAAGAGATGCTGCAAGGCGACGGTTTAAACGAACTCGACTTCCTGATGATTTTCTCTCCTACAAACAGCTTCGAAATAGCACTCAATCAGCAGTACGCCGTGCTAAATCCCGTTACTACCATCATTCCCTATCCAACTCTCCCAATACCAAGGCTACGTGGGCTATTCTTAGAAAACTGACCATTGGTAATACACCCCAGTCTCAGTCCAATTCCGTTTCTGCTGATAACCTCAACGCTCACTTTGTCTCCTGTCCTCTTGCATCCACATCTCCCACGTCCAGTCTGGCTCCTATGTTCTCTTCCTTTAATCCTGATCACTTCTTTCTTTCCCATATTACACCAGATGAGCTCCTTAAATCCATTCAGAAGTCCCATACCAATGATTACGGTCCCGACAACATCCCAGTCAGACTGATTAAAGCCGCATTGCCATCCATTCTTCCGATCCTTTATCATATATACAATTATTCTCTTCAAAATGCTACCTTCCCTACATCCTGGAAAACCGCCCTAGTACGCCCATTGAAGAAGACTTCAAACCCATCAGTTCCTAATGATTTCCGACCGATTTCCCTCCTTTCAAACCTCTCAAAACCATTAGAGCGGTTAGTCCAATCCCAGCTATCCCATTTTTTAGAGGACAATAATCTCCTAAATCCCTACCAGTCTGGATTCAGGCCTGGTTATTCTACTCAGTCTGCCCTAATCAAAATTTCCCAAGACCTTCACACAGCCATAGATCAGCAGAAACTAACCATCCTTATTCTCCTAGACTTCTCCAAAGCTTTTGATTCAGTAGACCACAACATCCTCCTAACCAAACTTAAAAATATCTCTTTTTCTTCTAGTTCCCTTAATTGGTTCCAATCCTTCCTAACCGGTCGCTCCCAGTACGTTGTAATTCCTAATAACCCACCATCAGAATCTCTACCTCTGACCAGAGGCGTCCCACAAGGCTCTTCCTTATCCCCCACCCTTTTCTCCATCTATATAAATGACCTCCCATCCTCTATCCTGCACTGTCATTACCACCTGTATGCCGACGACATTCAAATTTACCTCTCCTTTAATCCGACAGATATCTCAGATGCCACTCAAAAACTTCAGGAAGATATTGACAGAATAAGTGCTTGGGCAAACCTCAATAGGCTCACTCTGAACGCCGAGAAGACAAAAGCCATCTTGATCGGATCCCCTTCACTCCTCAAATCCTCCCCAGTATCTCCCAATCTCTTCCTGAACAACTCACCTATCTTATTCTACACCACCGTTAAAAACCTAGGTGTTACTTTCGATCAGTCCCTATCCTGGAAACCTCACATCTCCCAAATTTCCCGTCGCACTATCTCCACCCTAAAACAGTTCAATCGTCTACGATATCTCCTTCCATATAAGTCCCGTCAACTCCTAGTTTCCTCCCTTGTTTTCCCCCACTTCGACTACGGCTGTATGGTGTACGGTGGACTCCCGGGAGATTCCGAGGCCAAACTTAAACGCCTAATGAATTGCGCACTACGATTTGTTTTCGGAATCTCAAGGGATACGCATATTACCCAGTATTACACTGAGTTGAGGTGGCTCTACCCATCCTATCGCCGTCAGTACTTCCTAGCCACCTTTCTGTACCAAATTATTAGAACCCATCGACCCTCCTACATTTTTCACAGCTTACAATTCAAATATTCCATCCAATCCCGTCCCACCAGATCTCGTACTTCCGACCTCTATCCTCCTCCTCACCGAACTGCTGCGTTTGACAAATCCTTTGCAATACAAGCCGCCTCCCTCTGGAATTCCATCCCACCTGATATTCGACACGCTCAATCAGTTTCCTCGTTTAAACCACTCCTCTTTAAGCACCTACTCCTTTCTCAATCCGAATGATTGTGAAATATATCTCAGAGAAATATCTGAGCACCACCAGAGAGTACCTCAATTTATTAAGGTTATTTTAGTTTCTCATACATATGTACAATTTACTTGTTCTTTTTTTTCTCTTTTCTGTATTTTTATCGTAAGTCAACTTTCATTGTAAATATACAATTCAATTGTAGCCACACAGACATATAATCTGTATTCATATTTTGTTCTTAAGGGACAACAGTCCCAGAATAATAAAACATTTTTTTCATTTTCATTTTCATTTTCATTTTCATATATTTGATTTAGGTTGTTTTCTGTCTAGAAGATGTCTAAATTGACAACATGTCAGCAGGTTAATTTGTTTTAGCTGCATTTTAAAGAGTCAAGACTTTTTGTTTAGAATTTTCCAATTGCAACCTAACATTCAATTTGTGTCGTTTTTGTGTTTTGGCTCTTACATTAATTTAAGAATAATTATAATGAATGTTTTGATTATAGTCTGCATTGATTTATTGTTATAAATGAGCTTTCTTTAATAATTATATATTTTACAAATATATAACAATTCATCGACATAGTTTTGTTAAAAGAAAAATTATTTAAAGAAAAAAACATTAGTTATCTCTTGAAATAAACAGGAAGTGAAGCATCAAAACTATTGATGGCCCAATAGGAACTTGCAAAGGAGTCTTTAAATTGATATCTTTAGTTAAGAGATCTTGGACTGTTACATTATTAAAGATTATTATAAATATCATGAAAACAAAACTTTCAAATGTTTTTGTGATGGTAATAACTGAAAATTGTTACTTATTTCAAATTGAAAAATATTTTTAAAATTTTTAGTTATGAAGAACGAGGACGATCATTGGAAGCAGTCATAAAAAACTATAGAAAGCAAACAACATTTGAAGAATTTGCTGCAAATATTTATTCCCCACAAGAAAATAATTCTTTAAATATTTGCCATGGTAGGTATTGGGAGTTGTTATGGTAACATTAATTACTTATATTTAATAATTGATTATCTTATTGTTTGTTTATAATATACCACTTATAAAATTTAATAAATAAATTGATAGTTAATGCTTCATGTATTATAAAACCCCATTTAACTGGATCCACCTACCTGAAATATGTATTATCTGTTTTTATTTATTTATTTTTAGGTGTCTTTTTGTTGAGAACTTTTTTTAATAATGAAAAATTTTTGTTCAAAATAACTTATATGAAATTATATTACATATTAATATTAAATATCTATTAATTACTTGATTTAAGATTTATTTACAAACATTTTTAGTAGGTAAGGTTTTTTATTTTAAATAAATTAATCTTGTCAGTTATACTTTTATTAAGTACCTAGGTAAATTTTCATATTTTTTCGCAACATTACTCCAATAATAAATGTATTAACATAAATAATTTTCTTTTTATTAATCTGACCATTTCTTATCTTTCATGACATCTGGAATGATCATTGTCTCATTATTCTGGATGTTCAGGGTTCTAGTTTAATAATAACTCTTAATATTAAAAAAAAAAAAAAAAAAATCAATTTTTTATTTATTAGATCTATATCTTATTCTTTTTATTTTTTTATGTTTATTTATTTGATATTATTTTATTATTGCAGGTAACAGCTTGCAAAATACTGAAGAATGCTCATCTTCTCTTGGATCAAACAGTAGTTCTACTCTAGCTGCTCTGCTCGATACTACTACTTATCGAATCAGTCAACATTCTCATATGACAGGTGTATAAATATCTTTTTATTGATTCATATTTAATATTTTACACCTTAAAATTGCCACAAACTCTAAATATTTGCTCCCAGAATACTTTGGTAGGAATCTCCTCCTCTCCCATTCTCACAACATATCTAGCCCAGCACAATCTTCCTAGTTTGATATGTTGGATGAAATTAACCTCCTTGTACATTGCTTTCAGCTCTGCGTAGAGCAGAAGAACATAAATTCTTCTGAGAAATTTTCTTTCAAAACGTAGTGTAACATCTCTCTTGTATTTTACAAATAATATTAATATAACCTCTGAAGATCACTTCATACCGTTGGGATACTTCCAAAATAAATAAGAGGTTGTTAAATTAAAAAAAAAAATTGGCATTTTCCTTTTTGGGGAAACTACAGAGCAGCCATTCTCTTTTCCCTGAACTAGTGAAACGAGACCAGCTTGCTTTTTAACTGTTACATTAATTTATTTAATAATTTTTAACAACTTTCAATTAAGGTGTATATTACAGTAGTCTCAAAGCTCTCTGACATTTAATGAAGGTACATGTTTCAGAGCAATAAGTCAGTACAGGTGGGATAAGGGCTTTATAAATCCACATTTTTTAGGGCTTCAAATAAGGTTGCTTCAGAGATGATTATGTAGTACAAAATATCACCAGTTTGCGGCTACCATTCTTTCGATTTCTGTACCAATGTCATTTATTTCATTCACCTGTGATCCATGTTATATGAACTCCTCAACCTTTTCAATTACCTGTCCTTATGGTAGGTATTATTATAACCTATTATTATGGTTGTTACCTGACTAGACCCTATGAGATTTGCATTAAGATATTTGGTTTAAGCCCCAGTTTAGCTGCAGCATTATTCAGCACTATAAATACATCCTTAACAGCCTTTAATGACATTCCTGCAATATCAATGGTATCAGCTTATTGTATACAGGCGTTGTATGATATGGTTTATTAAGGTACTAGATGTCTAGATCTTGGTAACACTTATGGCCTTATCAACATACCCCCATGTCTTTTGAGAATTTGACGGATATCTGTCCAAAAATCCTTACAAACGAAGCATTACGTTCCCACCGCTCCAAATCTTCTAGATAGGCCTGCACTGCGAATTTTCACTTGTCGAAATTTTTTCATTCCTTTAGACGTTCAACCGTCAGCCGCTAGTACTGAGACATGGTGGATTCGCGAAACGAAAATTAATGATTTGTACGAAATTCATGAACTTACAGTCACTGGGCCCATAACCTGTTGATTATAAGATTCTATTGATTAAGGGAAAAGATGAAACAGGTCACGATATATGATAATATTTATTGAACACAACTTACTCATTATATAAAATCAAGTGCGACATAGGTACAGCACAACAGAACGGAACAATAGCAACAACCCGAATAACAATGTATAAGGTTACACACATAAACGTGGTCAAGACAGTGTTGCCACAGGTCCACAAATAAATTGTCCAACAGTTTCTAGCCCTGACATGTATTTGCAGTTGTTATTACGGCATCCCTGCATAAGTCCCATCTTCTATCTATGTCATCTGCAGGTTTTACAATCCTAAGCTTCTTTCCAAGCTGGCTTGAGTACCTTAGATTCTTTTCTTTAACCTTTAAGTTTGTTTAGTTGAACCTTCATGGGTTTGCTTCCATGACAATATTTCTTAATTGAAATTCTAGCTCAAAATTTAGCGACCACTAAGAAGTGATCAGAATCAGAATTTGCACCTCTGTGTAATGAAGACATGACATCAAGTAATGAAGATCTATGCCTCGAGACAATTAGTACGTGATCAATCTGAGGGATTCTTACATACCCCCTATATATATATATAAATAAACAGTTAATTATAATTGTATAAAAAAAAAATGTATGCATTGAAATTCCTACATCGATAGTAGGAAATGCATGTACTATCTCTTACCAAGTATTATGATTATATGATTGCTACACAATACATTGTAATAAGATCGGGAGGGAATTCCAAAAGTTGACAGAGCGGGCTATAAAGGAGTATATACTGTTTCCTTCCTTTATTGTACTGAATTCTTTTGTCTTAAAACACTTTCCAAAGTTCTGCCAAACAACTCTTCCAAATTGGTAACACTATTACTGGGTTTTACCCACTGGAGCCAGGATCCCTTCTCTTATCCTCTCTTCACTGCAGCCACACAACTGCTTGCCAAAACAAATCCTTTGTTCCATCCCCTCTTTGGGATTTTCCTTTTTGGAACAGAGCAGTTTTTTTTTCTTTTCCCTGAACTTGTAGGTAGAACTAGATTAGCTTGCTTTTTGACTGTTCAACATTAATTTATTAAACGCTTTTTATTCACTTCTAATAAGGGTGTACATTACATGATATGTATGTAAACATTAATAATGTATAAATTTTTTAATTTTATATTCCTTTAATCGCTTTAATTGTGCACACAGTACCTGCACTAACTGTCTATCTATCTATATATATATATTTGTTTTGTAATCCAAAATTTTTAAACATAGAATCCCTCTGGTCCACCATCATCAGTAGGAAGAGAAGATATCGAAGAAAAGTACCTGAAACTTGTAGAGACAAGGATGGGAATATAGTGGCCTGCAAGGGTGAGGTCCTATTACAATGGAAAAGCCATTTTGATGAGCTTCTCAACTCAGCCCCCTGTGGAACAGACACAAGAGAGGACTTGTTCCTGGATGTCAGGAACCAGGGATCAGACCTTGAACCACCTGATGATGAAGAAATAATGGATGCCATTAATCGGTTAAAGAATAATAAGAGACCTGGAGCTGATGATCTGCCTGCTGATTTCTTCAAGAACAGAGGTGAGGAACTGTTTAAAAGGTTCCAGAACTTAGTCTTGACCATTTGGGAGAAAGGGGTTTTGTTGGAAGACTGGAGAAAGTCAGTTATATGCCCTATCTTTAAAAAAGGTGACTAACTCTAGTGTTAAAATTATAGGGGGTATCTCTCTTCTCTCTTCTGGATATAAGATTTTATCTAACATCCTGTTCCAGTGTCTTGTACCCTTTTCAGAGCAGCAGCTTGGTCCCTACCAGTGCGCATTTAGACAAGGAAGATCTACGACAGACCAAATATTCTGCCTCAGAACAATCCTAGAGAGAGGAAACGAACAGCAGATTAAAACCCACCATCTTTTCGTGGACTTTAAGGCAGTTTGTGATAGCATTAACCGGGAAGAACTGTACAAGGCACTTAAAGGTTTTAATATCCCAGATAAGCTAATAGGGCTGGTAAAGCTGACCATGAGAGATGTAAAGTGTACTGTGCAGGTTGGTGGTCAAAGGACAAAAGAGTGATGCATTAGCATGCCTTCTGTTTAACATGGCACTTCAGAAGGCAGTGAGGGATTCTGGTCTGCAAACTAATGGGATAATTTATAACCAGATGGTTCAGCTATTAGCCTATGCGGATGATGTGGATATCGTGGGGCGGTAGTTGCACTTGGTATGAGAGGGATTTTTAGCTTTGTTGGAGGCTGCCAGAGCAGTTAGGTTAGAAGTGAATGAAGGCAAAACTAAATATATGGTTACAGGAGAAGTCCCTCGACCAGGCGAGACCATCAATATTGGCCCCTTTAACTTTGAGAAAGTAGTGCAGTTTAAGTATTTGGAGTCACTGGTAACACAAGACAATGCATCCGAGGTCGAGGTCAAGAAAAGGATATTTATGGCTAACTAGTGTTACTTTGTTCTTCGTAAGGAATTCACCTCTCGCCTTCTATCCCGGCATAACATGCTATATCTTTATAAAACACTAATTCTCCCAGTCCTGTTCTATGCTTCAGAAACATCGACGACAACTAAAAAAATTGAGCAAGACCTAATCTTTGAGAGAAAAATTCTTCGAAGAATATTTGGAGGAGTACAGATTGATGGAAATTGGAGAAGACGGACAAATACTGAAATTTGCTCAACTTTTAATGATCAAGATTTCGTTCTGAGGATGAAGCTTGGAAGATTGAAATGGACTGGCCATGTGGCAAGGATGGAGAATGAAACAATCCCTAGGATAATCCTGACAGAACTTTTCTACAGCTCAAGAAGAAGAGGGAGACCAAAACTAAGATGGTCAGGCGGTATGGCAAGAGATTCAAGGGATATCCTGGGAGTCAGGAGCTGGATGATGACCACACAGAACAGAGGTGACTGGAGGAAGCTGGTGGAGGAGGCCAAGACTCGTCACCGAGTTGTTGCACCGTGATAATAATAATAATAAAGCCGAAATTTCTAATCAATTTCGGAAATAAAGATGTTTTTTTTTGCTAATAGTTGACAACAATATTCTCCACCTACTACTCCAGACTCAAAATATATTATAGGGATTACAAAATAATTATATTTTTGATTTTAAAAAGTATTACTTAATAATTATTATTATTATCAACTGTTAAAATTTTGTTCAAAAATATTGCTCAGAATATGATTTTTATCACTAATGATCAAAAATAAAAATTGCTCTTAATAAAAATCATGAAATGATTTTTAAAAATTTCAGATAAAAATTTTGATCAGATTTTATTTTTATTTTTTTAATTACCTATTTCAAACCCTGATTACATTATGAAGACTGTACAGAAGAAGAATGGTTGGTTGGTAAATAATTTATTTCTCAATTTATGCATTAAAATCGCCAACCAGAAGTTTCATATCGTGTCCAGGGCACTCATCGATGCATGGCTCCAATTCCTCATAGAACAAATCTTTGCTTTCCTATCCAGACACATCTGTAGGACCATGATCACATATTATACTATAATTATAGAATTTTTCTCTTATCTGTATCCTGCAGAGCTCAGCATTAATTGGTTTGAAGTCGATAACAAGAGGAACCAGTTTCCTTCCTATTATAAAATTTGTGCCAAAGGTGTGGAGCCTTTCTTCACAACTGTAATAAATGGTATGTTGTCCTCTCTTGAGGCTTCCCTGTCCAGTCCACCTGACCTCTTGGAGGGCAGTGATGTCTGTTG